AACGAGATGTTGGCCGACCCGCTCAACCGCGCCATCGTAGTGGAGTGGGATGCCACCCTCAATCACAGGCTGCCTGATCACGTCGACGAGATGCTTGGGCAGATCCGCTCGGACATGTGGCGCCTACAGCGGGACCTCAGCCTGCCCTCCCAGCCGTTCAAGGATGCCGTCGAAGTGCTCGACTCCGGAGGCACGGCGGTTAAGAGCAGCCTCAGGAGGAGGCAGATGGAACTCTCCCGCCAGATCAAGGAGAATATCCAGTTGCGCTGCCGCGCGTATCCGCCGCAATTGCGCAGCAAGTCTGCAGCGCAGCACCAGATTGCAGTCACATGGCGCTCGACTGCCTCTTGCTGGGCAGCGCCGGAACATGCAAAGCGATTTTGAGGGCATGTGAATGGCTCTTGTGCCGTTTGGAGAATGTCTCGGGTCCGCCAAGGTTCTTGCGTCGGACGTGGCCTGTTTCTGTTTGAGGCTTGCTCGGGACAGGTAAATCTCGGTGGTCTTCAGGGCCCCTCCCTCCTGGGAGCCTCAGGGGCGGTCCGGGGACTCTAAAGGGAGCTGGGGCAAAAGGCGAGAGATAACGAGCGTTTGCCCGCGGCCGTTTGTACTCAAGCGGCCGGCCGCCAAGATATGAGTGCGCGTCATCGCGAGGCACGCGACTTGCCATGTATATTGAAAACGAATTCGCTTGACATGGCCCGTCGCTCCCGCGACGATGCCCTATTTTTGAGACTAGTCGCCACTACGGTACAACAGAGTTGGATATGGGCTTCGCCTTCGGCGAAGCTGCTGGTTGGGCCTCCCAACCCCTGTCAAACTTGGTAGCGGAGCTGGCCTATGGTGGTCAGCTCCTGCTCCACTCCTCACCATCCACGGCATTATCTTGTGGACTACTGACATGGTGGCACATCAGGGCGCAGTGGGTTTGCGCGGAGGAATGTCTATAACTACGCACAACCGCAAGGACACCTGCAATCTCACCTCCGCTCCCGCGTAGGACTCTAACATGAGTCCTACTTTCTCGCGCGACTACACTCCTGAAGTCCACCCTCCCACTCCAATTTGAGACTGTTTTGAAGACGCGATACATTGCAACATGCGATGCGACATTGCGCCGCCTCCACCCCCACGCAGGCTAGCGACAACACACCACAACCCCCAGCCACGAATGCCCGACCACGACCTACGCGGCCACTGGATTGGTATTGCCAGATTTGGCCTTCAATGGGTCGCTATCGGGTGCGCCGTGGGACACATGCAGCGCGGTGGAAACGACGCAAGAATAACCGGCCCCCACTGGGACTTTGCCAGCGCGAAGTCGTTCGAGAGGTACACGCCTGGATCAACGTGGCCACAGGCAACGTGACACCCTTTCCCAAAGCGCGGTCTGGAAGGCTTCGCACGGACCATAGCCATAAGAGTACCCCCCTCAGTCATCAATTTTGGCGTTAACATTGGTGGCCGCCACACCGATGGCGTCACCTACATCATGTTCCTCCGCAGCACGAAGTTTGGAAATTTAGAGGAGGAGCGCCAACTCAACTCGGGAACGGCTCTCATCGACCTTCGCGTCCATGCGGGAGAACGGATCGACCAGACGTTAACGCTTGAGATAGCCCGCTACGAGGCTAAGACCGCAGGCTTCAACATCCCCAACTCCAAATCCGAGCAGTCATCCTGTTCAGGGCTCCAGGAGTGGGGGCGTCGCGTGCACAACAATTCCTACAGCCACTCAACCACCAAATGCCGAGGAACCAACAACAAGTTGATGCCCTATTGGAACGCACGAGGTCATATGCCCACATCGCCGAGCGAACCCCCGGCAACATTGGTAATATCTCTAGTCGCGGTCGCCGTGCCGAAAACTTTCATTCTGAGACCAACGCGTGGCAACCTGCTACAAATGTCTAGAGTGATGATCCACAATCAACGGAGGCCGCCACCTTATTAGCCCAACATGGCGGCCCGCCTACGGGGTCGCAAGACTCCTGGGCTAGATATCAGGGACCGCGGGCAACGGCGGCCCCTGCACAAGCCACTGCCCTTGCAGGCCCAGCGGGGCAACCCGCCGAGTCTGACTTCGACTCTGGGGCCGACGCCGATGCGTCATCAGATGGCGAAGTTGCTGCCCTAGACTCCGGCATGCCTACGTATCTAACAAAATAACAATAGGCACAATGGCTATTTCTAGGATATCAGGAACACAACCCCCGTTTGAGACGTTTCATGAAGAAACCAGTTCGTAAGGTACGACGCGCTATCCGACGGGCGCTCAGAGTGAAGGGTAAGGGTCGAGGCAAAGGTAAGGGCAAACGACGGCAACTGCATGGTAGAGGTATGTTGGCATCACTGGCATCCCTTACTCATTGCGAAGAACGATTCCTGGGGGCCGGCAGAGGCCGCGGGCACACCTCAGGAAAGGGTAAGGGACGTCGGGGAATCCCGAAAGATGCCAAAAGCAAAACCATGGAATGTGACATCTGCAATAGCACGCAACATTTCCGTCGTGAATGCCCCCCGGGCGATGGGGGAGGCAGGGGTCCGTCAATGCATTGGGCTCAAACCGACTCGGACAAACAGCGTGTCGATTGAGAGACGCTACTAGCCGACCCGCAGACACCGCCCACTGCCGCTGCCCATTTCACGGCCGCCAGGCATCTTAGAGCCAGCGTGTCCCTCGAGAGATGTGCTGACGAGCTCTTCGAGGAGATTTATGTTGGCCATGATGGGGTGAACCTGGCGGACTGGTTGGGCGCGCCCATCGCGGGGCAACCTGCGCGGATCGAGTTCGTCGAGGACTTCCACGTGCCCGCCGAGGTAGACCACGACAGGGCGCCCGCGGATTCTGATGCCACTATCCCAGCGACAGAGGAGGAGATGCCCCTGATGCTCCATCCGCAGGTCATTGGCCGTCCGATAGACAGAGAGTTATACGACGATGACCCTCCGCGGGGAAACCGGCGAAATGCTGGCGAACTTTCCGAGCGCATCCAATGCGAGCTCGGGCGCAACGAAGACCATCGCTTCACGTTCGCGGTGCATGACAGGTCCACGAGCCGCGCATCATGGGGGCGGATGATTCGCACAGGCGGCAACGAAGACGACTGGGGAGTTGAGAGCCATCGCCCGCAGCGTCACGGTTGGAGTCATTCGCGCGGGCATCCGCGCGCTCGCTCCAGCGGCGCGCAGCGCCCACGCCCTCCTGACACGGGTTCCAAGGGCTCCACCGAGAAGGGGGCGCTCGCGGGAAACCCGCCTCAGATCGAGGATCGCCCAGCTGAGCCAGGAGAACGAGGCGCGCAGCGCCTCGTCAGCGATGAAGATCTTGGGCTGGCTCGCCAGCATGCCCCGCCGAGCGCCATGCAGTACTGGGCCGAGGCTGGGCCGAGCACGACATCCGCCGTCGGCATCCACTCCATAATGTCACGCGGAATGAACGCGGCAAAATCTTCCGCGCCAGCGGAGTTGCGGCGCCAAGACGAGCCCCGCGCTTGTGAGAAGGGGCTTCAGGAGGGCCATTCTTAGGGGCCGGGAAGCCTACCGGCCCCTTGTCTGCCTTTGCGAACATTTTGCTGACAACAGACCCGCGCGTCCGATGGGGCGACCGTCAAGGAGCCCTTTCGGTTGAGAAAACACCGAGGCGCTGGTCTCATGGAGATGGTCTGGGCCGCAGGGCGGATCCGACCAATCATTCCCCTGCAGCGTGCTTGACCAAAGATGATTGCCAGCCGATCACCGAGATCGAGGCTGCACGGATCGAACGAATGCGGCAGAAATTCGGCAGAATGACGAGAATATCATGGAGGGGCAGCTGAGACATGCGGGGCAACCTGCTTCCTCTTCTCACAGCCTTCAGAGGGTGATGAAGGGGCTGGCAATCTTCTGGGCCCTGCCGAAGCAGTGGGTCCAGCCCTCGCTGCCATTTCCAAGTGGGAGTATACCTACGAGACCGACAGCGGCAACAAGACGGATATAGTAGTGGACATCTCCAAGTGGATAATAGCAGACATGGATATTGCCCCAGGTTCGACAGTCAGTCACAATTGCAGAGGCGCAGGCTGGATAACTACCGCTGCGCGCAGAAGAGCCGACGCTGAACAATGCGATTCGGGATGCCAAACTAGGGCCAATATCAAGAACACGGCAGTTCACCAGCCAAAAGACCCGCTTCCGCAAGACGAGCCAGCAGCCAGCGACGCGGGGGAACCTGCGGCGCCATCTCCCGCGGGGGCACCCGCAGATGAACCGCCGAGGGGCCCGAAGCACCCTAAGGGGAAATCGGGGAAGGACGTTGACCTATCCCCAGCGCCGAGCACACCGAGGTCACCTGCAGCCGCTCAGGCCAAGCACAAGGAAAGGACCGGTTCAGTTGACGCTGATCCTGGAAGCAACATGCCCCACATATCTGCGGGGGAGCCCGCATGCAGACCGCATTCCAGCGGTGCGGCAGCGGCCGTTGCAGCAGCGGCGTCCCGAGGCGACGGCGCGCCCATGCCGAGGGGCCCTGTATTCCTGCGCGGCCCAACGCCTGGCCCTGTCCATAGGGGGCCAGGCTGGGCGCCGTCATTGGATGGTTCATCCACGCGAGCCTCCTCGTCAAAGGGCGGCGCGGATGCTATGATGTTGCAGACTACCTCGAAGGCGCAGGGAGCGGCCCCCGCAATCGTCGCAGTTCGATACCGAGACATTCGCGAGAAAGTATAGGCATCTGGGAGCGCTCGCTCATCGGCAGCCCCCGCAGCGCCTGAGCCCGCGAGGACACCTGCTGAACCCGCCGCTGCTCCTGCGGGGCAACCCGCCGCTACGCTTGAATTGGCTGAAGGAAGCAGGCGATTCTGGGAGAACTTGGGCACCGTTAGCCAGATGAAGATCAGCCCAGCTTGCAGGCCCTTTGCTTCTGACGGGTCTGAACACTACAGAGTGGTACAATGTAAAAACGACTGTGCTGCCGCACCTGCTGAAGATCATTCTCTAGCACGTCAGCGTGTCCGCAATGTTTTGCGGAAGGAACCTGCCTTCAGCTACGAGTCCGAGGGGGGGTCCGTAGTGCAGGTGCTGCGGAATGAGTACCTCAGCGCGACGCTAATGGGCGAATCTGACAAACGCCGCTGCCCGGAATGGCTCACTACAGCCACGCGGCACAAGCCAGTCCACCACGAAGCGCTCTCCGACCGGTTCATCAGATGTGCCACCTGATATGACGAGTACGACGGCCGGGTAGACCTTGGAGACTTGCTGGACAATTGGCCGCCGGAAAATT